TTAAATACACACTTTCACTTTAAGAATGAATAAGACCAATGTGATAGATCCAGTGAACAAATGATAAATTTAAATGCATGAATTATTCAGAGCAATAGGCCCAAAGCACTAAGGAATAGAAAATATTTTCATGATTTCTCCTGCCACATTCATTTTCTCTCAGGTGCACATGCCCTCATTCATTCTACCATCTTTACATTCAACACAAATATTTATATCACAAAATTATGCTTTCATGATAATGAGCTTCAGCACTAGAGCTAACCTGTTCCTAGGTGGGAGGTATACTGCAGATCTCCTTGTGGAAACTACCAGGATCAGAAAAGATTTTCTGAATAATTTGTTGAATTTGGCAAATGTCCTGGTAATCACTATATCACTATATATATATACACACACACACACACACACACCCATATATATGTGTGAAAAAGGTAAGAAACGCAATGCAATGTATAACACAGAGTATTATCAGAAGCTTAAAGCAGTGAGACATATATGTTAGAAGGAAACTATTCATACTTCATTATGTCTGAATTAAAAGGAATCTGTAGAAAGAACTAAGCATGTTTGAATCAGTGAGATAAGAGAATCAGATCAGCCATCAACCACAAAGAGCAAAATGACATATATATGTATGTATATATACATATTAGAAAGCATGACAGACAATAATGTCATGGCTAGGCAGAATATAGTATATTTCAATACAGACAAAACAACAGCTATAAAGTAAAAAAAGAATATTATATCTGTTATATGTTAAGCAAATTATAGTGATCTCACTTAGAAAAATTTTTAAAAACCTCCGATAATATCTTTTAAATTTATTTTGGTATCAAAGTCCAAAGTTTGAGGAAAGTAAACCATTTATTTATTATCACAACAAGGATTTATTGTTTACTCAATTTTCCGGGAACTATGCTAAGGCCTAAGGATATAAAAATACACTAACAACCTTGCCTTAAAGGATTGTACTGTTTAGGTGGAGGAGACGAACACATAATTCAGTTATTATAAAAACAATACAATTAGGTATTTTAAAGCATTAAGAAGGCTAACTAGTGCTTTAAAAGTGAATTAGTTAGGCAGAGGGATGATGAAGAGTATTTGAAGCACAGTAGATAGTATGTAAAAGAAACAAGAAAAGTTGAAAAAAATGAAAAGGTGGAAATGGAAACAGGAAAGATAAATTTTTGACAGTAGATAGACTGTCTAGGAAGGAGGCTTTTGAGGGATGCATGACTTATAAAAGGCATACACTAGTATTACTCTGTGTGTGGCACTTGGTGATGGGTTTTGAGTGCTTGTTAATGATGGAGATCCCTGATGGCCCTCAAATGTGAATTCTGAAAGTTCTATGAGGTCAACTGCAACAACTGTTCTATGTTATCTTCATATCTTTAGCATCTAGCACAGGGTCTGATATGTGGTAGGAGTTCAATAACTGTTGTATGAGTGGCTGGATAGTTAGACAGATGATAATCTCATAATGCTTGAGACATTTGTTAAGAGACTCCTTTTTTTGGCCAGAAGGATGTAGTGTTGCAGAAATCTAAACGTTTTAGAATCAAAGTGGGTCATATTTAGCTGTGTCCTTGAACGATTTATTCATCACTGCTAAGCTTCAGTGTCCTCATCTGAAAAATAGGGAGTAGATGGAATTATTCATGTAAAACGGTTAGCTTGGGGCATGGCAAAACAAAGTGCCAACTGCTCAAAGTGATATTAATAGTTACTATTGTTCTATAAGTAATAAAGCTATTTAGTTATGAAAGGGCCATGTTTTGGGTGGTTTGAATTTTGAAAGTTAAAGTTGGTTTCAATTTGATATGTTTGAAGGTTAAAAGCACTGAAAGTTTGATGACCGTGGGAAATATAATTTTTCCAAAAATTGAAGCACAAATCAGAAGGGAAAAGCCTGTGGTCAGGGGAAACAAACAACCTATTGTAATCACCCAGTATGAGTTAGGTTGTCTGGGTTCAAAGCCCAGCTCCATCATTGACTAGGTGTGTAACTTTGAACAAATTACTTAACTTCTCCAGGCCTCAGTGAGATTTTAGTAGTTTCTTATGGTGTGTTATTAGGATTGATGAGATAATTAATATAAATTGCTTGGCAGAGGACCTGGCATACTGTAACTGTAAGGTTACAATCAATGTTAACCGTATTTGCTGTTATCGATATGTTTGTAAGATGATGTGAGGCTCAGTTCATATTTATGGTAAGGAGAATAGGTATAGAAAAGAGAACTGTCAGAGGAAAAGTGTTAAAATGTTTGGTGGTTAACTCCAAATGAGATATCTGCCTTTACGCGATCTCAGATACATAGAACATGCTTGTCTAACACTTGTTGCTCTGTGTAGAAGGTATACTATGCTTTGGACCTTCTAGTTCCCCACACTCTTGGACTAATTAAGGGGGATCATGCAAGATAATTGCAGTTGTGTTAGTTCTTTTTCACGTTGCTGATAAAGACATACCTGAGACTGGGTAATTTATAAAGAAAAAAAGGTTTAATGGACTCAAGTTCCATGTTACCGGGGAGGTCACACAATCATGGTCATAGGTGAAAGGCACTTCTTACATGATGGCAGCAAGATAGAATGAGGAACAAGTGAAAAGGGTTTCCCTTTATAAAATGATCAGATCTCAAACTTACTATCAGGAAAACAGTATGAGGGGAAACCGCTCCCATTATTCAATTATCTCCACCTGTTCCTGCCCTTGATACCTGGGGATTATTACAATTCAATGTGAGATTTGGGTGGGGACAGGGAGCCAAACCATATCAGTAGTAATATTATTTAATGTTTCAGATAAGGAAAAAGGGCACCTCTAAATGTACTCCAGATCTGAATAATATAAAGCCAACAAACAACTAGGTTCAGAATGAAATAGTAGAAAAGCACTAAACTTGCAGTGTGGAGAATAATGCTCAGAGTTCACTCACTCCCTGTGGCTTGTGAGTTTTGCGAACTTAGACCTACAACTTACCATTATTCAGTATCCTCAGCCATAAGATGGGAGTGTGACCCCCTCCCTAGGTATTTAGAGAGCAAGATGGTATAATGAACGCGAAAGTAGTGCCTGAAAGTTGCTAGGACGTTAATAAATGTAAGACTAATCTTACTACATGGAGTCACTAACCTACTCAGAATGAGTGCCATAATAACAAAAAAGGCCAAGTCTTCTGTGGCCTATAACATCTTGACTAATTTCTCACCTCTGCTTTAAAAACTTGATTCTTTTTACTGCACTTACAGATTTATATTTTTCTCTTATTTCCAAAGCACAAAAACACATTTCTCCATTGAAGAAAGTTTGATGATTGAAATACACGGGTGGAAGCCAAAAACCAAAATTCATTCATAATTTCACTGCCTAGAGATACCTAATGTTAAAATTCTAATAGATGCATATATTTTTAATAATTAGCATGATGTTAAATATACAGATTTTATGTTTTATCTTTGTCAATGTTAATAATATACACAAAATTGTTTCTGAATGCCTACATGTTAATAATGTGCAATAAAGAATCTTCAGGTATCACTTATTTTCGGTATCAAAGCTATGCAATATATGAAGAAAATTTTATTTTCTAGAGAAAGGTTTATTGTTTTCTATTTGTTTTATTTCCATTTACCACATAAATAATATGCTTAGAGTATTAGCAGCATTTAAGCAGCAATCAGGGGAGAAAACACTTATCCCTATTTCAGCCAAAATGCAACAATAAACTGTGTCATCTAGAATCTAAGCCCGAAAACCTACTCTGAGATCTTTGAAGTACTCACTTGGGTTGAAGCCATTTCGAGAAACTAAGCAAAATAAATGGTTTGAAGCAAACAAAAATATAAACTCCAAACCTTCCCCAGCTTTTCATAATCATCATATTCATTTTCTTTTTACTAAATTTGCCTCCCTGGAGGTTACATTAACCAAACCTGTCTCCTTCATTTTTTTTTTTTTTTTTTAATCTTCTGAGTGCCTTCTCAGCCTAGAGCTAAGTTTTCCCAAAAACTTAAATATTTGATAAGCATCAATTTTGCTTCTGAAAATCACTCTGACAGGTTTGGTGATAATATGGATCTGTTTACTTTTTTTTAATTAAATATTTGTTTATGAGGTAGAATACCAGAATAGTTGAATATCTTGGTCTTCTTATTAAATAACCTTTTTCTGTGTGTAAACAAACTCTCCACCTATTGGTAAAAATACCATATCATATGATCTCTGATCCCATTTAGGGGAAGGAGGCCAATGAAGATTCCTTCACAGTGTCATTAACCACATGAAGACAGAATTACTCCAGAGCCCCCAATTTTTTGGTAACAATATGACCTATTTCTATGAACTAAAAATAAATATCATTTGAGCTCCCACTGTGTCTTAGGCACTGGTGGTGTAACAGTGAACAGGTCAAAGCCCGTGTCCACATGGAGCTTATCTTTTGGAAAGACTGAGCAATATGCAAATTAATAAGAAAATCTTAGATCATGTTATCAAATCTTAGGCATATTTATTACTTTGCAAAAAAAAAAAAAGTAAATTACCCTGCTTCATCTTGTTAACAAAATAAATTTGTTAATCTCAAAGTAGCACGTTTAGCAGGGTTTTGTGTAGTTGTTCTGAAGATCCACTGTACTCTGTATAAACATTGCTGTATAGGAATTAAAGTGTAAGATTTTGGGAGCTGTTAGCCAAACTTAAATTGATTCTGGGAATAAGTTATCATATTAACGTAGGTTCAGTGTGATGTATCTGATATATTTTGAAATATACTTTATACACTATTGTAATAAAATGCATATGATACATATTATGGATTAGCATGTTTTGAATAATGAATTTAAGATACTTCATAACAGCAATATATGTTGACCAGTCAATGGGGTCATATTTCCCCATTCTTTTCACTTTGAAATTTATATTTTGAATTTTGTCTGCTTTTAGATCTTGAATATTTCTCCAAATATTTTTATTACTCTTCCAGGAATTTGCTGCACTGACAAAAGAATTAAATGCCTGCAGGGAACAACTTCTAGAAAAGGAAGAAGAAATCTCTGAACTCAAAGCTGAAAGAAACAACACAAGAGTAAGTGTAAAGCAGCTTTCTTGGAATTAATTCCATTTGTAGTTCAGTGCATTACATCTAACACACATATACGAAGAAAATATAAGCATTTAAAACTTTAGAAATACTTTAAGCAGATAGTAACTCATAGTCAGTTACTTAAAGTAAAGGAGGATATACTATAAAACTCAAAACAGGAAACCTAAATTATAGTCACAGCTACTAAATCACTATGTTGCTTTACAAAATGTTCACATTCCTTCTGGCCTTTACTTTATTTGACTTTAAAAAGAAGATCTGGATTTCAATAATGGGTTTCAAACTTTAAAAAGGTTGTTTTGAGGGTGGGGTAATCCCTCAGAGGCTGGAAATGGGCAAAAGAGGAGAGTTTTGGAGAAGAGGAAGAGTTTAAATTATGGGCTGCTACAAAAGAGTGGCCTGGATTTGGTCCTCACCTCCAACCAGCAAAAGGTTTTTTTAAAAAAAGGAAAACTAAAGACCGGGCGTGGTGGCTCATGCCTGTAATCCTAGCACTTTGGGATGCCAAGGCAGGCAGATTACCTGAGGTCAGGAGTTTGAGACCACCCTGGCCAACATGGTGAAATCCAATTTCTATTATAAATACAAGAATCAGCCAGGCTTGGTGGTGCACATCTGCAGTCCCAGCTACTTGGGAGGACCTGGGAGGCAGAGGCTGCAGTGAACCGAGATTGCATCACTGCACTCCAGCCTGGGCAACAGAGTGAGATTCTCTCAAAAAAATAATAATAAATAAATAAAAATAAAAAGGAAACAAAAAATAGTGTCAAGAAAAAAGAAAACACTCAAGAAAAAAAATATCTGCCCATTAAAAGTGGAGTGCCTTTATGTTTTAACAAATTTCCAAAGGGATGTCCAGTCAAAATACTCTAATTTCATGAAACTCATGGAATTTGCCAGATTCTACTGTTGTAAAACCATGTATTTTCATCAAGCATATGATATGCCATGTAACATTAAAGTTCAGAATTTGATAAAACATGCTTTATTTTCTTTCAGAAAAAAAATTACTAAATTTTATAAAATATGTAAATTACCACATTACCCATACAGAAGTACAGTTTACTAAATGGAAGTAGAAAAAAAAAAAAAAAGCACTTTTATGTAGATATAAGTTCAATTTAAATACTAAGTTGGTGAAAAATAGTCTAAGTGTTATAGCTATAAGAGATTAATCCTGAAAAAATAGATATAGCTAACAGCCTATTCACTTTATGAGTCTTAGAGAGTAATAGAAAATACAGTTCTACTAACTGGGAGCTTGTGCCTTTAATGAGAGATAGGGTTGCTTGCATAATGGTTACATGGTCAAACTGAATTTATGTCCTTATTTATCAAGGTCTTATTTATGGTAAAGAGAATTAACATACATGTACATTGAATTGTTTTTCAATGATACTTTGATGAACCAGTCTAATGGATTGCCTCAAACACGGCATGACAAGGGCAGTTTAGATCACATTATCAGGTATCAGATAATTTTTTTCTGTTGCCCTCTTCCTTTCTATATATTTCCTGCCCTTGATTTTTTAACTTACCACTGTGTTTTCATGCAAATTTGAAATTTATTTATACCGTGACATTTATTCCGCCCTATTACACTATGTTATATTTTAGTACTTTAGACTACATTCCTTGATTTAACACAGCACAGTCAAATGTAAAAGTAGGAGCAGAAAGCTGAGAATGCAGGGAAATACAAAGCTTTGGTTAGGTTTATAACTAATGCTCACATTTAAAATGCACCAGACACTCTTTTATTAGCTGTGTACGTTCATCTAGCCTTTTTTCTTCAGTCCCTTACTCCTTTCTACACCCCTCTGGAGATGTTATTCTTATCTCCATTTTACAGACCAGGTAAGTGAGCTCAGAAAAGGTCAGATAACTCGCCAGAAGTCACACAGTTGGTAAATAGCAAAGAAGGAATTTGAAAGGTAAGGTAGTTTAAATCCAGAGCCTGGGCACTAACCATGAGGCCATCAGCATTATTACTCAAAGACTTGTTATAGCTAGAGAGGACATTGCTTAACAGTCAGACCACCACAGTATGGAATATCTAGTTGTGATGAATTTTAGAGAGCTAAGAGATTTGGTGACAGAGTCCATACGATTTTCATCATATTGAACCCCATGAGGCCCAGAAATACCTGAGGCTACTGTGTTTGCAAAGGAGTCTTGGAAAATAAAGGGAGGAAGGTGAGCCACATGTGGAGTACCTATTCAGTAGTCAAAATGAGAAAAATACAAAATTCCTTTAAAATAACAATAACAGATATTGAAGCCATTGATTTTAACCATGCATAATAGTTACTTTGAAAATTTGAGAAAGGCTGGAAAATACTTTTCTACCCTCCTTAAGGCAGTGATGTGGAGGATTTTTGTTGTTGACTACACCAAGGAAAACAGATTTATGAAAACTCCCTTGTACAAAGTATTGATTATATAATAACTCCTTAAGTTACATAACCACCTCTCACCCTCCTCCATCTCCCAGAAGAAGTATATCCAGGGCTGAAAATCAAATACATCTCTCTTCCCACCAAATGCCTTATCAAATGTTGCTAAATAAAACCACTTTTATAGATTTTATGGTTGTTTATCTTTCTAGATGTTGTGCTTTTCTTCTTACTATCTCTGTGCTGGTCACAGAGACAAAGCAACAAGCTAGCGTTTCCTTCTCACATGTAAAGAAACTTTAATTGATGTCAGATTGTGAGCAAATTTAAAGTATAACTGATAGCTGGGCATGGTGGGACATGCCTGTAACCTCAGCTACTCGGGATGCTGAAATAGGATAATCGCTTGAATCCGGGAGGCGGAGGTTGCAGTGAACAGAGATCATATCACTGCACTCCAGCCTGGGCGACAGAGGGAGACTCTGTCTCAAAAAATAAATACATAAATAAATATATAAAATAAAATAAAATATAAAGTGTAATTGAGCATTCCGGTTTCCAAGGTTCTGATCAACGTGTGGCTCACTTTACATCAAGTAGTTAGCATATGTTCATGAACTGAGCCAAATAACATAAAAAGCTAATCCATGAAACCATGTGTGGATGAGGTCATTTGTATTAATTTTGAATATTATCAAAAACAATAGATCAGAAAAAATCCTTCTGTGTAATTATATTTGAATGAATTATACCATCTCCCAAAATAGAAAATAGACGTTCCAGTGGGAGTTGAATGAAGATGGAGAGTAAAAATGATAATACAATAGCTAACATTAAAATCTAAATGTTTTTATAAATGTTTTACATGTTTAACTCACTATATTCTCATAGCAGTCTCATTATCCCCATTTAATTCAAGAGAAAACTAAGGCAGTAAGTAACTTGTCCCAGGCCTATAAATGGCTTATAAATAAAATACCCAGAGAGTCCACTACTTCCTTCTCAGTTTACCCACAGACTATGTATTGAAGAAATCATATTCCTATGTCACCCACAATTCACATGTGATGCAAAGGTATTTTGTTTAAAGAACAGAGTTTGTTCAGATTTCTTTTTTTTCTTGTTTTTAATTCTTTTGAGATGAGATCTTACTCTGTTACTAAGGCTGGAGTGCAGTGGCACGATCATGGTTCACTGCAGCCTAGAGCTTGCTGGACTCAGGTGATCTTCCCACCTCAGCCTCCCAAGTAGCTGAGACTATCGCCACATGCCACCCAGCTAATTTTTGTATTTTTTGTAGAGATGGGGTTTTGCCATGTTGCCTGGGCTTATCTCAAACTCCTGGACTCAAGCAATCCGCCCATCTTCACCTCCCAAAGTGCTGGGATTACAGGCATGAGCCACTGCTCCTGGCCTATTTAAATTTTTGTCATTCAATCCTAATTTATTGTGTGTTAGTCATGTGAAAAGTCAATGTGCTATGTTTTTATTCTGAGGTCAAAGCTGAAATGCATGGCCTGGCCACATGTTATGTTTTCTCTGCAGAAATACCTTGTTGACATTGCAGAAATGTGAGTGAATGAAAGAAAATCAGTCATCACTGCAGTTGTTCTTAAACACAACTGCCTCAAGTTATTAAATTAAGAATATCCTAATACAATCATTATAACATTATAAATAATTATACAAAAATAGAAATTTCAAAAATTTATAGTGGATATTTATAGAAACATACAAACAAGCTTTTGTTCAATATTTTTACACTGATAAAAATGTAGAAAAAATATTGAAACAAAATTTGTTATTCCTAAAACTCCTGTGACCATCTTTGGCAAGTATATGTTTACAGAAAGTTATATTTATAGAAAATATTTTATCCCTGGTGTTATTGCAACTCAAAATGATCAATAAGACATGTTTTGACAAAGTTTTCTGAACTAATGAAGAGGTAAAGAAAAACTGGAAATTTTTATGTAGTTACTGCCTGTGAATGTCAACGTGAAGAACATTTTTATTGTCAGAGTTGTTTCAACTATTGTTATAGCTGACGATCTCAAAGGATGTTTTAAATTGTTCATAATGTTTTAGAATGTAACTATTGTGTGACTTTGAAAAACGTTATGGTTTTGAGAAACAGTATTCATATCACGTTATGATTTTGAGAAACAGTATTAATATCTAGTTATAAATAATAAAGCTGTAACTTAATCTCATGGATCATAAACTTAAAAAGAAAACTTAATTGCATTTGAAACATTTCTTACCATGCCCTCACTTTTGTTTTGAGACAAAAAAAAATTAACAGATATTGAGATACAATTAGACACATACCACTACTAAAGAAAATGTTTTTATTATTGACAAATATCTGTCTATACAAGTTAATAATATCATCCAAACATATTTCATCAGTGGGTAGAAAATACAGTCCAATTCAGAAAAGGAAGAACTTCTCAGTTGAAAGCAGATAAACATTCTACATGTGTGTACATGCATATGTATGTATAGTTATTTTTGAAAGTTCTATGATAGGATATGATAAATACAAGAATAAATAGGACAGGACATATGCCCTCCCAACAGCTA